GTCTACAGTCACCCCTTCCCCGCATACCACATTGCTTAAGAATTTCACCCCTTTCAACCAGAACTCACACTTTCCGAACTTATCATACAATTTATGGGATCTAAGCAACTCATGTACAATCCACAAGTGTTCCTCGTGTTCCTCCTCAGAGGGTGAGTAAATCAAGATGTCATCAACAAAGACAACCACAAAACGGTCTAAGAACTCACGGAAGATTTGGTTTATCAAATCCATAAACGAGGTTGGTGCAATGGTTAGCACAAAAGGCATCACGAGGAACTCATAATGGCCATACCACGTATGGAATGTTGTCTTTTAGATATCATGCTCCTTCACTCTCGACTAATGATAACCGGCTGCTAAATCCTCTCTACTTTCCACCCTCAAACAGCTTCCTAGACGCCATCATCCTAACCCCAACACACCACTATCGACGCCGCATTCACCATCAACCATCGCCACCTGTAACACCACAAAAATAATAACCATAATTCATCCTACGATATTAATTAAATAACACGATGTTCTGAAATAATTGTCTTTCATTTATATAATTCCATTTTACTAAACATAACACATGCAGTTATACATTCATAAGCCCCAACCTAGAATCTATAGCATGTGCCACAAGTTAATGATATGAAATAAAAGTTAAACAGATATATAAATGCCCTAATAGCAACAATTTACCAAGACGATGCTTGATTACAACAAAAGCGAGTTTAAACTCAATAAAAATAAAGCCCTAAGCTTGTACAAAATAATTACAACAATAACAAAAGAAAGCTCTTAGCTCCAAGTCCTCCCAAGCCATGACCTTAACGAAGGCATATCATCAACACCTGAAAATTATTTTCCACATAGGGAGAGCCAATACTCAAGCACATTGTATGAATCTTAACAAAGCTATAAGGTGAATGCATACGCAATGCTCATGCCAAAACATTTTATATCTCTTCCCAAAACCACGCAATGCCATGTTTATATCGTAATTCATGAAATCATTTCCTTTACAATAGAAAACAGGGCAGTGGATACGACACTGGAAATCTCTAATATGTGTCTACAGGCAGGCTATACAAGCACTACCAATTGTTATTTTTACCGGTACTAACCGGAAGGCTCGGCACCTAACTATGGGGTTTCGGGACTTTTACCAAGGAACACAGGCCAAATAATACCACAACCACACTCACTACCCAGATTCAAAAACAGATATCTCTAAACAGACAGATAATTTTCAATAAATATAAACTTTTCAAAATTTCAAGATGGGAGTGATAATGCATATCCAACTCCACCATCATCGTCATCATCATTCCAATTCCATAAAACCCAACATCATTGCCATTTCCTCTTTACAAAATCAAATATTCACATTTTAGGGCAGAATCCCATTTTTTTTATAAATCAATTCCAAGGATAAAAATCCAGCATTTTATCATCACTCAACCACATTTACAAACCCACAATCATTTCCAAGAAACCATTTTGATAACCCCTATTTTGATTTCAAAACCAAAACCCTAAGTTTATCCAAAATTCTCCAAATCACAATGTTTTTTAGAAAATCAAATAACCAAGTTAAAAACCATACAAAAGTATGGAGAAATCCCTACCTCAAAGCTAGAAGACAAGGGAGAGAGTGGAGAAACCTTGACGAAGCCGAAAACCAACTTTGTTCCAATTAAAATGAAGCTCTAGGTGAGCTCTGCCTTTTTTTATCAAAAGGACTAGGGTGTAAAGAGCAATAGATTTAGAGTATTTGGAGGTTGAAGATGAGTTTTAGAGAGAGGAGGTCTAGATTTAGGGTTTTGAAATGTTTAGAGAGATCTATGAAAAAGTGATTCCAAAAGTGGCTGTTACGAATTGATATGCGCGCAGACCACTCGAGCAACCAAAACACAGCTCAACCGACCAGACAAAATATGTGAGACCGCTCAAGTGAACAAAGTGACCACTCAAGCGAAGAACACCACCTCTTAGTAGTTTTGCAGACAAAGGCTAACCGCTCAAGCGCAACATCATCCGCTCAAGCCAAGACCGCTCGAGCGCAAGAAATACTGCTCGAGTGAAAAAAAACACCCTCCTAGTACTTTTACAGACCAACAAATATACTGGGAGTTCTCAAAGATCGCTTGAGTGACCAAAGGACCCCTCAAGCGAACTAACCAAAATCTGGAACAATTCTGTTGAAACAAACAAACTCCTGACCTATTCCAAATGCAATAAATCCAAACAACCAAACTCAATCAAGAATAAGATAAATAAGGATATGAACAACCAAATAAGACAAGGAATCCCAGATCCAAAATAATGAACGAGTCGGGTCTAAACCAGGATCGTTATACCGTCACAGCCACCACCAACCTCTCTCCTAAGCCCCGTTGCGCCTCCCCTAGCTCCATCATCTACCCCTTTGCCGTCGTACACCCTTATCTTGCCATTGCGAAACAACCCCGCTCCCCTTTTTTCCATTGCGAACAACTCTACCACCTACTCCCGCCATCACAATCCATCTCCCCTACCTCTCCATCGCAACTCAACCCTCCTAGATCTTGGCCTCCTCCACCATAGAGGGAGGAAGAGAGAGAGAGAGAGAGCCCTAGGTTTCCAGATCTAGACAATGATGAAGAAGAGTAAGATAGAAAATGGGCCAGAGAGGGGTGATAGAGGGGGAGGGGTGGAGGTCAATGGCTGACGGCTAGCGATGGGCAAGGGTTTGGGTTTGGGTTAGTTGGAGAAAATTAGGGTAATTTGGTTTTATTTAAAAATTAGTGGTGGTTATTGAGACAAAATTAAAAACTTTAATTTGTGTATGATGTGAACTGAGCAAGTGGTGTGTATTGAAAAGATTTCTAGTGTGTAAATAGAATCACCATTTTCTTTTAAAAAAAATTAATGGAGAAGTTACTTTTTTAGCCAAACCAAACATGTTTTTTGCTTTTGGCTTTTTTTAGTTAAAAATAAATAAATAAATAAGGGCAAAGAAAGGAAAGACAATGAACTAGCTATAGAAGCTAAAGTTTATTATAGTTTCCCTTACTTTTCTTTGTTTCACAAATTCCTTCATTAATTGAAATGCCAAAGACAACTTACAGCAATCTTTTTCTTTTTTTCTTTTTTCTTTTTTCTTTTTTCTATTTTTTGGGAAAAATAGGGGGGACGCCGACAGCAAAGTTGCCTCATTTTAAACACCTTCTTTCCAATATATAATGTGAACACAGAAGAATTTTCTTTTCTTTTATTAGTTGAATAGAAATATCAATGCACTTTTTCTTTAGGGTTCTTTTTTAGTGCTCCTTTGAATAATTTTTTTTTTTTTTAAGAAAAAAACAGAAAAAAGTGGGGATATCTAAAGAACAAAGTGATTTGTGATCATTCCATTCATTAATTTGGGGACTTACTTTCTTAACCAATTAGCCAAAAAGTTATTAAATTAGTCAAAAAGTCAACAACTCATACCAAAAAGTCAAAGATTCTCTTTTCTCTCTACTTTTTGCACATCTTTTCGTAATTAGCCAAAAAGTCATCCCAAACATACAAGTTTTTTTTACCTACCTTTTTAACCAAATAGTCAAAAAGTTACTAAATTAGCATGTTCCCAAACATGTAGGAATTTAATGACACGATTGCCCTCTTCTTGATTAATTCAATATTTTGAATAGAATTTCTTAATTCTTCCAAATGAAGGTACTCCAAATTCTTAGTCAATTGTCAATACTGCATATTTTAAAATTTTCAAGTACTTCAAACAATAAATAAATAAATAAATAAAATAAAATCCTTGAGATTTCCCTACTACTAACCTGAATCACCTTTGGGTTATAGACAGATAAAGGATTTAGGTAATATATATACACTAGCGAGTGACACTGCAAGAAAATCGGGAATTAGCGGCGTTTATAAAACGCCGCTATAGGCTAGAAAAACGCCGCAAAAAAATAAAACGACGTTTATAAAATTCGTCGACGATGCGGCCGTCGTTGTATCTTTATGACGTTTGAAAAATGCCACTAAAGACTTTAGACGACGTTTTCTAAAACGCCGCTAATTCTTTACACCCGTTAACTACGCACGTTAAAGGAGTTATCTCTGACGTCATAATGACAACATTTCGCGGCGTTTTTAAGAAAAACGCCACCATTTCTTTCATTTTTTTGAAAAAAAAAATAAAAAATCCTAATTAATGATCTTTTGACTTTTGTTCAAACCAAACCTACATCATCCATCACCATTCTCAAAATATATAACCATAATGTGAATGAGCATTCATTTTTCAATTTCCCATAAAATAAATAAATAAATAAAACCCCTTTAACTACAATATGACAATACAAAATCATAAAAATAATAATATTCAGTGTGCTCTCCAAGTTCTCTGAAAATAACTTCATCCACAGCTCTCTTCAGCTTCATCAAGTCATCAATCATCTTCACCAAAATGAAGATTATATACCTGAATCATCCAATTCCTATAACTCCTGCTGCTTTCAGTTTCTTTCTCTCTTCTAGGATCATCTTTTCAGCTTCTAAGGCGGCCAATTGCTCCTGTATTAAATTGATGATACAACACCTGAAAATTTCACTATTTTCCTAATAAATAAACAAATAATAGCATTCTTTTCCTAACAAACACCAAACCATGGCACGTGATTACTATGTTACATGGACTCTTAAAATAAAATTAAATTTCTGTGTCGACACTTGGACAAGGTATGGAATACGTGTCTGATATTTTCCATCAGACATGTCTTACATATTTGTATTATATATATATATATATATATTGTTGTATAATTGTTACAAAAATGAGAAATTATTTTTGACATTGTATGTTACTTATAACGCTATTTTATCTTATATATTAGTTTAAAAATATTAAAAATACGACACTTTTTTGCCAGTCCGAATATGTATAAATTTGAAATTTGATGAGTCCAACCTACAAACATGCACTCACACCTCTGTATCCGAGTCCATGTAAAATAGTTTGATTACAAATGAAAAAATATTCAAGAATGAAGAAGAGATCTAAGAACATAAATTGTCTTAACAGTAAGAGTTCCTCTATCCTTCTTATCTTTTATTTTAAGCATATCAAGTGATGGAAGGAGTCTCACTTCAACCTCTTTTGGAGTTTTAGCTTCCAGCTCAATCAGCTTTAATTTTGCTATGCCCAATCGTTTGTCTTGCCCAACATCTTCATCGAAAACCTGTATGAAAGGATTGTGAAATTTATGTGCACACAGTCAAAGCAAATAGAAACTCTCCGCAAAAAATAAAATAAAATAAAATAATACACATGTTTGACAGTATCCATACCAAATGGCTCTCTGTGGTACTCAAAAGGACCAATTAGACATTCAAAGGACCTTTAGGTTGTGTTTAATTATAGATTTTGGTAGTGATTTGGAAAGGGAAAGGGAAAGAAAAAGGAAAAGGTGAGGGAAATGCGAATGAAATATAAGCTAAATTTTAATAGGGATACCCTCATCGGTCTGGTTTTGAAAACATTGCTGGTGGCAACAGCAATAGCAGGTAAGGAAGAGGTTGCAGCAGTAGTTACAGAAGAAGATATTAATACATCCACATATATGTAAATAAAATTGCAATGAAGAAAGAAGATGAAATTTTACACCAGCATCAGAGAAACACAGGTGCCAATCTCATCAGGAATTTGACCAGTTAATTTGTTCCCTTGAAAATCCCTGAAAATATTTCAACAACAACATCTAAAGTTAGTATTATGTAAACTTGGTTACAATGAGCAAGAACACCAAATCAACAGGATTAGCAAAGAAAGCATACATGGATTGTAGATTCTTCAGGTCTCCAATTAGCAAAGAAATCATCGTTGTGAACATCATCCCAGTCCAGCAACACAGTTGCTATGTTGCTAAACGACGCCTTAATCGACATCAACGCTTTGCCTGTGTGAAGATAACACCATTCTCTCATCATCACAATAGCTTTCTATTATGGTATGATTTGCTTCACAAATGAAGGGAAAGTAAATTCTCTCCCTAGTAGCCAAAAAAAAATGTTGCTTTTAAAAATCCAAGCAAATGGGGGAGAGAAAGACAAGAAAAACAACAATGTGAGCAGTGCTGCCAAATAAACCTTGGAGCTTGAATCATGTTTGCCATTAAAAATTTTTGAATGAAAAATGAAAAAACCTACACACTATACAATACCATTAAACTAATGGAACACATATTTGAGTCTCAGTGGCATAAATCAGTCTCATAAACCATCATCAGGAGTGGCTGAACCTTTTTAGGCTTTGCTCTAATTCCCAGCAATCTCAACACAAATCTAGCAAGCTCTCCATATAGTAATCCCGATCGATCCAACATCTGCACATGATGACTCCACGAGTTATTTAATTAAACATACCTATCATATTATAACGACCAGACTCAACAATTTCACCTTGCAAATAATCAAATGGGGACACAAGGAAATTAAAGCACCTGAAGAAGAGCAGTAATGAACATGTGGAATGCCTGTGTATTCTGGTCTATCAGTATTGCAACCCGGCCAAAGAAGGTTACCACACCTTCCAACTGCAATCATTGTAGAAAAAAAAGCACAATATATTCGCCAACGCCAGATGCAAATCCTTGAAAAAGGGAATTAATTATTTTTATTTAGCTTTGAAGCTATGTTAGCCCAAATTAGGGTGGATAAATTAATGCAAATGATGAGTATTCCTTGGAATTATCTATCACATGCACAACAAATTGCCTGGGTATTATATTCATATTAGAAGCAAATTCAATACCATTACAGTAGCTGTCAGGAGCTGAAACTATGAGGACCAAACTTCACAATGACAAGAATGTATTAGACTATTAGTATGTCGAGTGTGATAACAAGTCATTATTACATGTCAATATTAAGAAAGCACCTTTATGCAGCAGCAACTGTTCTTGGGACCAATTGACCAAATTCTAAGCTCAATTCCTCTCAATGCTTTCTGGAGGTGGTACCAGCGTACCACAGGTAATTCCATTAACTCATCAAAGAAAGTTTGTAAATAAGTCATGGATTGCTAATTTGTTCTCATAGTAGAAAATCTAATCCACATCATGAGGAATGTGTATTTTTATTCCAACTATGACCTGTTTAGTAGTACTGAATGAACTTTCCTTTATCTTTCATATTAAATTAAAACATAATTCTGCAAAAGAATATCCCTGCAGGCTCAGTTTCTCCCTGTATTCCAATCAGCCAATTTTCTATCAGTGCTGTAATTTTGATTTCGAATTGAATTCTTCATTTAATTGAATTTAATTAATTGATTCCTTAACCCAGTGAGTTTAGCAAGTGCTAAGTACATATAAATCCCATGGGATTTCATTATATTTTCTTAAAATTTTCTGGTTTAGCAGAAATTGAAGAACATAAAAGATACATTACTAGAAAACAAAGAGATTTTTTTTTTTTTTAAAATTTTTTATAACTAGTGCATATGCTAAACATCAACTACACAATACATTAATTAAATATATTCTTAATCAAAATTATTCAATCAATTGAACCAGTGAGGAGAGCAGAGGAGAAGACAGTTGAGGAGACCAGAGAAAAGCAGAGGAAAACTATACATGGATGCCGGAGGGAGAACTGGTGACGAAGTTGAAGCCGTTCCTGCTACAGACAATTTGTGAGGGTAATGCTTATATTTAGCTTATATTTCATAAAAGGACCTAGCTTATATTTAGCTAAATTTTAATAGGAAAAGGAAAAGGTGAGGGAAAAGGAAAAGGAAAAGGTGAGGGAAAAGCTTCGGACATAAGCTAGGTAAGGGGTAGGGATAGGGATAGCAAAAACACTGACCCAGTGTTTTTTAATAGCGCAGGGGCAGGTTAGAGGGTGGAATTGGAGAACCCAATTGGGTTCAGGATGGTGATGGAGAAGGGTAATCCAACCCATCGGACCTGAATATGTATCGCATCACGACAAAAAGATACCTAATTATTTTAATACACTAGTGGAAAGAAAACTAATCTAGAACTATATCATCACTGGCATCAGATTTATCAAACGTGATCAACCATTTTTTTTAACCAGTTTGCCCACTTATCCGGTCATGTGACAGGTCTGGCCTAACCTGAGTCAACAGATCAGTAAACTTGGAACAACTAGAGGGAAGCATGCCGTAAGTCTGCCCTTTACAGTGTTGTGCATTTTCTCATCTTTATTCAATTATTCCCAATATTTGTCAATTATTCTCATAATTTCCCACCCTTTATGCAATTACCCCGGTGCAATGGCCTCCACCCACATCCCCTAGGTTCAAGCTTTTTCATAAGAGATTATTACGAGAATAATTGCATAGAGGCTCAGTATGTACACAAATTAACTTTCCAAGAATGGTCAACAAGTAAAGCACCATCCCAGTAATTTCACAAAATAGCATAGTCAAAAGAGACCTAAAGGCATGTGGATCAAAACCTCAAGAATAAGAGACTGTGTCTCCTTGTCTTCTGCAATCAGCTCAAATGTTTGATTCCAAATGGGGTTCAGGTCATTGTCAATGACCTTTGTTTTAACCTTGAACAATGGTCGAATGTACACAACAACATAAGGATTAGATTTTCCAATCATTTCCGTGTTCTTAAGATCATTTGCCTTCACTACTGTCACCGTAAGCTTTCCCTGTGGTCTAAGCTCTAGTTCACTGCATAAAAGGCACAAAGAAGTGTTAACTCCAACTTGCCATATAAAATAAAATAAAGAAGAAAAAAGAAAAAAAGAAAAAGTGTTATACTATCAATTCATGTGATGAACAAAACATCTAAAAATGAAAAAAAATACTTGAACCTGACGATGAAAAAAGTGTGTCAATCACGATATACCATAAACAATGCAAATAAATCTTGTTCTTATGGTGCAAATCATTAGCCAAGTACAACTAAGAACCCTTCTTAATTAAAATATATATATGTGTGTGTGATTACCTTGTATCTACAGCTATACCACCTATAGGCACAACAATCCTGTGAGGCCATTGAATAAGAAATCTCATACCTGAAACATATGTTATTGAATAAGAAATTTCGAAATCCAGTATGAAGAGCGAGGAAGATAGTGAGTTGTTTGAGACCAGATCTGATGGAACAATAGAGGGAGAGAGAGAAAGAGAGAGAGAGAGAGGACGAGACCTGAGGGGCGGTAGCGACGGGAGGACCAGACCTTAGGAGGATTACCAGAAACCCAGTATTCATGATCTCGTCTCCTCCTCTTGCTTCGACTCGACTGGTCACGGTCTCGATCCCTGTCTCGATCCCGATCCATAATCTCGATCCTTTTTCAGTCCTCAGTCTCGTAACCTCGCGTTCGTATAACTCAACCGGTCCATCTTCCTCTGCAAAATCATCAGAATCAGAATTAAAATCAAGAAAAACAAAAAATCATCTGGAAATTTCAACCAAATCGATTCCAGAATCGATGGATTTAGAATTAAATCTGACCAAGTAATCGTAATCGAACTGGTGAATCTCTCAAGAAGCATGAGAGAGACGGAGGAAACCCTAGATCTAGGACGGAGAGAGCAAACGATAGAGAGAGAATGATAGAGACGGAAAGAGAAATGGGGGGACGGAGCACTTGCTTCACAAATGAAGGGAAAGTATGTAACTATGTCACCATGTCCAACCTCATGCTACAATATCCAGCTCAAGCAGGTTCATATTAAAATCGGCACTATGATATATCGGATGAGGTGAGACGTTGAAGTTTTGACCTTTTGACAGAAGTAGTACCTTCGTGAATTGTTTCAAGAATGTCCCAAGCCTCTTTTGCTACGTCACACGTGCAGATACGACAAAATTCTTCAGGTGTGATGGAGCAAAACAGGGAATTGAGAGCCTTACTGTTCCAACTCGAGTTTTGGTAATCAGTAGTGTCCCATTTATCAAGGGGTTTAGGAATATCAACACCATCAATGGTGATAGTAGGTTCACTCCACCCATAGATTATGCTATGCCAAACTTTCTAGGATCACCTTGATATATTAATGTGACTATTTTAAAACTATTTGATATTAAATAACATCTTTATTTCATTCAAAAGATGGAAAGGATTACGTTTCTTTTTAAAAAATAAAGACTTTCAAGGTTATGTTTGGTTGAAAAATTTGATGAGAAAAATAGATAGAAAAAAGAAAATGTAATATCACTTTTGATTGATTATAATAAAAAACGTAGGGAAAAAAAAAAGTGAGAGAGAAATGCAATCACACTTTTTGTCTTTTGAGTTTACTTTTACACTTTTTTTTTTGATTTTTTTTGGTCATTTCTCAGCTCAATCAAATATAGTTTGGAATTCGAATCATTTCAATTCTTTTTTTTTGCTTTCTATTTTCCTTTTCTTTTCTATTTTTCTCATCAAATCTTCCAACTAAATATAGCCTAAGAGTTTGATTTGTTTTTATGTGATGGCAGCATCAAAAGACTTGACTGACTGTAAGGGTTGATATGTTTTTACGTGATGGCAGTATCAAAGAGAAAGGCTGGATTTTCCACAGTCTAAGTCGGGTCGAAATATTTGATTTTAGGCCTATTTTTTTTTTTTCTAGAAGATTATTATTTTGAGTACAACCAGACCACTATCAATATATATTATCTTTTTTAAAATATTGTTAAATATCTGTCTGTCTTTTGTTTTTATAAAATTTAAGAAACTTACCAATCAGTTTTATTAACTAAATTTATTTACTTATAAGTTCTGATTGATAAATATATCACTGTAAATTTATTCATAAAATAAGATAGACTGGTAAATTTATCAATAAGACTTAATAGGTAATAAATTTCAAAAGTATAATCTATTGGTAATTTATCCTAAAATTTATCAATTAGAGTAAATTGACAATGAGAAAAATTCAAGGTCAAATTTATTTATTTTGAACTACATAGGCCAAATTAATATAAGGGCAAACTATAAAGACTACGAGTGTAATTTGTCCAAATATCATATAAGAATGTGTGAGATTTTTATAGAAGGTCCTATTAGTTGAAGTTATTATCCAATAAGTCTTGAGTGAGGTTTTATGGACAGGTGAAATTGTTGGCCCAAATCCAAGAACAATTAGGTAGAACAACCTAAAAGGAAAGAAAAAGCCCAAACAGGTTTTTAAGAATTCCATTAGGAACAGCTGACAATGGCATGTGGGGTGTGAGGAGTAAGGAAAAATAAAGATCTCCTTCTAGAAGGGAATCAACAGAATGTTAGAGGATCGTTGGATTCATCCTCATCCAATGGTGGAGATATCAAGCAGTAAATATAGAGGCGTAAGACATGCCTACTAGACGACATAACCATCTGATCAACAGTGATGCCCGATTTCTTGGGCACCACTTATGTGGGACTCACCCACTTGCTATTCGAGATGGGGTATATAATACCCGCATCCAACAATTTTTAAACCTCCT